GGGGGGGAGGGCTGCAGGGTGCACAAGATGACCCCTTGGTGGGATGCTGAGGCCCTTTCAGCCAGCACCTCCTGGGAAACATGGGATGGAAAGAGAATGGGCTCTCCTGTCCCCTTGCTGCTGGAGGAGCTGGCGTGGGTAGGAGGACTCATTCCAGAGCTGGTGGCACTGGGAGGGGCAGAGATGCATGGCACCAACCCTTGCAGGCCAGCAGGACTGCTGGTGGGTGTTCATTTCACATGCTTGTCTCTTTGACCTTTATATGCCCGGAGGTCTCAGTGCCACCATGGCAGCCCCTCCTCACCATGGGTGGTCCCAGCATTCTGCTCTGGGTGGGCTGTGCCCAATTCCTGCAGGGCCTGGCAGTGCCGGGCAGCATGCTCAGGGCACGTGGGTGCCACACACAGACAGTGCCTTTGTCCAGAGTGTGGGCAGCTCATGACAGTGTGGCAGAGGGCGGCACCAGGACTGAGACAGGGGCTCAGTGGCCAGAGCCAGTGCTGAGCCCTGCCCTGTGCACCCAGCTGGAGGCCACACTGGACCTGGCTGAGCGGCGCCGCATCCGCTCGGCTATTCGGGAGCTGCAGCGGCAGGAGTTGGAGAGGGACGAGGAGATGTTGGCATCCAAGCGCTTCCGCCCAGAACGCAGCAACCGCCGACAGGATGACAAGGAGAATTGGCCACAGTGAGTCCTTTTGTGAACTGAGGTCATTCCCTGCCTCTGCCCTGGGAGACGGGGGCTGCAGTACCCAGCCCCACTCTGGCTGGGATGGATTTGAGTGAACGTGAAGGTGGGAACAGCCTGGCACAGAGCAGCTTGGCACGTGGTGGGGCCTGTTGTCTGGATCTGCCAGCTGCCCACAAGGGGACTTTGCTCACAAGCACCTGTGACAGCCACAGCTCTCATCCTGCTCAGGTCCCAGCACCTGGAAGAGGAACAGCAGGCATCCCTGGCTGCCTTGTCTGAGCGGCTTGAAGCCATCACCAGCGTGGAGGAACTGACAAAACTGGTGAGCAGCTGTGTGTTGGGGCAGACCATTTGCTGGGATGGAACTTGTGCTGGGGCTGACCGTGCTTCTTTCCTGGGTCCTTTTTTTTTTTGCAGCTGCGGGCAGCGGGTGAGTATGAGGAGCGCAAGCTGATCCGAGCTGCCATTCGCAAGCTGCGGGCTGAGGAGATTGAAGGTGAGGCACCATTCACATGTTCCGGGGTGGATGCCCTGGGGGCTCTGGGATGTGGGCAGCTTCTTCCTGAACGCCATCTTTGCTCCCATCCAGCTGCAACCCTGGCTGGGAATGTGCAGAGCAGCCGAAGGGATGGCAGCAAGCCCCCCACTGTGCCTGGGGAAACGAAAATAGTCCAGAGGGACAATGCTGAAACACCAGCCCTTACTGGAAGTGAAGAGAGCTGTGGTGAGGGCAGAACCAAGTCTCCAGGCACAGACAAGAGCGGGGAGAGCAGCCAGCAGGATGATGCAGAGCCAGCACTGGCTGGGCCAGAGGAGAGTGGGTATGGGGAGGCTGTGGAGCAGGAGCCCAAAGTCTCAGCGGTGAGTGTGTAGAGCACTGCAGGGGGTGGAACTGTTCAAGATTTCACCCTTTCCTGGGGTTCCTGTGCCAGCCCGTCTGGAGCACAGAGCCCTGGGCAAACTGTGCTTGCCTGCCCAAAGGGACTGAGACAGGTGGGGCTGGGGTCTCTGGGGACAGGGGAAACATGGCTGTGCTGTGCCAGTGTTGCCCCAGCCAGCAGTGATGAGCTGGGGCTGGGGTCTCAGGCCAGGGTGCTCCTTGGGTTTCTCCCAAGGATGCAATCTGGTGGGGATCTGGGAGCCCCTTGGTGTGCGTGGTACACCCATCTCTGCTCCACTTCTTGGGGATGGGGTTCTTTGGAGGCAACGGCCGTTTATCTCCTCTGCAGCAGTTCCCTTGCATGGGTAGAAACCTCAATTCCCTGTCCCCCTTCTTGTGATGGCTGTTCCTGCCCGCCTTCAAGGAGCCAGGGCTTATTCTGGAGTGAAGCTAGGGGCTTTTTGGCTGGGGAAAGGATAAGCTGGTGGGCAGAGCTGGAAGGAATGAACACAAGCCGGGGCTTTCAGTGCAGCAGGGATGATCCTGCAGAGACTGTGTGGTGGTGAGAGATCTCTGCACCCAACCCTTGGGGGATTGTCCTTTGAGGGTGAGGGTGGGAAGAGGAGAAGCAATAGGTGTACCCACAGCTGGGTGAGAAGGCATGGGCTCCCCCATCTGCCTCTGTCCAGCCCTGCTTCTTCCTCCACCTGCCCCAGGGCTGTAGCAGCACACTGCCAAAGGGATGTGGAGTTGTGCCACCTTTCAGCACTGTCTGCCTCCCCATCTGGATGGGCTGGCGCGCTGCCCCCAAAGCCTGGCTGGAATGGGACATCTCTGAGCAGCTGAGAGGGCTGTTCTGCTCAGTCTGGCTGATAACTACAAACCCAAGGCCATTTCCATCCTTGGGTTTGGGGCCTGGTTGCCCTGTGTCCCCTCAGGGTAAAAGCTCTTTTTTGTATGCCCCTGTCCTAAAGTCAAGGTGCTGCTAGAGGCACTGGCAAAGCCAAAACTGGCACCTTGTTCCCAAGCTGATGCCAGGACACCCTAGCCCTGCTCAGACTTCTGTCAGAAACACATCTTTCACCTGTGTGTGGTCCTATGTCCAGAATATTTCATCATTTGCCAAGCAGAGCTGCAGGTGCCATGGACAGGGCAATGTAAAACTGGATGTTCCCTGCATCACAGAGCCCTGGAGTGCCTGGGGTTGGAGCATGGGGCAGGTTTGGGGTCCCCCTTCACTAGACACTGTCTCTCTCCCTGCCTGCAGAATGCAGCAAGGTATGGGGACACTTCTCCCCCTGTGAGCCTCTTGCTGTGACCCGTGTGCAGGGACTGGCTTGTCAGTTCCTGCCAGCATGCAGGCAGGGACCTAGATAGCATGGGAAGAGACCACAGCCTATGCGTCCCTGGCTGGAATGGGCCATGGTGGCCCAGTCAGAGACCGGAGTGGGGCTGGTTCTGCTCTCCCCAGGCCTGCAAGCGAGAGGATGTGGTGGAGCAGGAGCATGTCCCAGCTGGGATGCAGGAGCTGTGCAGCCAGCAGGCAGGAGACCCCCAGAAACCCAGTGCCCGGGGTGAGTCCCCACAAATGTCACGGCAAAGTCCTGTCTAGGTGCGTGCCTGGGGCCAGACCTGTGCCTGGCCAGCTGCAGGACGATGAAGGGCATACCATCTCACAATGGCGGGCAGGGCAGCTGGGTGCCTGGAGGGGCTGCAGGAGTAGGGATGCATTGCAGGCAGCTGCAGGCTTACCAAGCAGAGCCTCTTCTCACCCACAGCCGAGGTTTCGGGGACCCTTGTGCTCCTGGAGCTGCAGCCAGCCCCAGAGCCCAATCCAGAGCCTGAGGATGGCGGTGAGGACCTGCAGCAGGGGCAGCCCCAGGCAGCCTGGAAGGAAGGGAACCTAGGCAGCCCTGGCAGCGCCCCAGAACCCAGTGTGGTGCAAAGCCCCAGAGGGGAGCAACTCATCCCAGGCCAGCCCAGTACTGGCAACCAGGTATAAAGCTGGCGGCAGCTGCCACTGCCCTCCTTGCCCGGGGCTGGCAGTCTGGGTGAAGGTAACTTGATGGGGGGACTGCATGTAACTCCCAGCTGAATGCTCCGCCCCTCTACTCCACAGCTTCATGTTGGGGCACACTGCCAGGTGCTGGGGCCAGGTGGAAGACACAAGAGGCCATCAGTGGGTAAGTGTAGCCCTGAGGGGGATGACATGAGAGCCGTGGCCCCTGCCAGCTGGGCAGGGCTGTTCCAGGACCCCCCCACTCCCCTGTTCTGCAGCATGTACATCCCAGCCGTCCCTAAGGACATGACTCCCGCCCACGTGTGCTGGGTCAGGAATGTGAGTGCAGGACACGGCCAGGCCAAAGGCCACCCTTAGCTGGAGGCCGATTGCTGCCTAGCCAAGTGGTGGCAATGCCCACCCCAGCCAGGGAACTGGGTGCCAGGCAGGCTGTTTACTGGGGCTTCCACTCTGACCGGGTTACTGCAGGGCCATGAAAGGGAATCGGTGCCAGTAGCAAACCCTGGCCTTTTGCATTCTTTGTCCCTATAAGGCTAGGAGCTGTGCACGGCTGGCTCTGACCATCCCCACCCCAGGCCCAGCACCTTGCAGGGCCTCCCCACAGCCCTGAGAGATTCCAGTGGCCAGTAGTTGCTCTTTTCCTACTGTTGTGAAAACCATCCCCACGGCTGTGCCAGGAGGAAATGGGGGAAAACCAAAAAGCAGCTCTCTGCTTCAAGGATGAAGGGTGCTGTCCTGGCAGGCAGAGGTTGCTGTCCCTCTAAGGAACCCCTGGAGGCTGCTGGCTCCTGGGAAAGAAGCAGCCCTAGGAAGATGCTAGGGATGGTGTGCTGCAGCATGGCACAGCCCTGGAGTAGAGAGAAGTGTGCAGGATCCAACCCTCCCTTGCCTCACAGGGGGCTCAAACCTGGGTTGTGAGGAGAAGCTGAGCCCCCCTCCCTCCATGGGCATCAATGACTTCAGCCCCAGGGCAGAGCCCTGCCTGCACCCTTAAGGGCTGAGCCACCTGGCCCCCTCAACATCTCTTCAGAGGCAATGGTGTGCCAGGCCCTGGTGAGGACAGGTGTGGTCCCAACCTTTCAACACAGACCCCAGGGCTCCCCACTGCGCTACTGGGCACAGAGCCTACCCTCCTCTGCAGTGTGGTTTTGCATTGCAGGACAGAGCCCATGCCTAGGGTGCAGGGCAGCCTACAAGTGCTGGTGGATTTTGGCACTAAACTCTGGGGAATGCGGAGTAATGGGGAGGGAGACTGCAGAGTGCTGTGCTGGAGTGAGGAGGTTGCCAGCAGTACCTGTGCCATGCTCACCTTCTGTTCCTTTTGTGTCATTCCTTCCCTGGCCTCTCTCTTCCCAAGCATTAGTGCCCACCCAGGAGGTAATGGGGACCCCGGCTCGCCTGAATACTCACCAGTGGGAGCTGGTGCCCTCCTCGCTTTGCCTGGCTAGCCACACGGGTAAGATCCTAGTGGTGGCTGCCTCCATTCGCTGCTTCCCGGTGGCGGGATGTCCCTGGTGGAGCCTGGGCAGGTGTGAAGCTCCTCAGTGCCAGGTGCCGAAGGATGCTGCTGGCTGCCCACCTGCTCTTTTGCATCCTGCCCAGAATCCCTCCCTCCCATCCATGTACACAAGCATCCGGCAGCAGTGGGAGGAGGGAGCAGAGGCATTGAGGGGCTGCAGCGACTCTGGGAAATGCTCGGGTCTCTGGGGGGCAGCAATACATCCTGTGAGCACCGTAGAGGATTGCATGCACAGTCAGGCACCCCGCGGGCTTTGTGCATCGTGTGGGCAACCTAGGGGGGCTGCGTGCACAGTGTGGAATCCCGGGGCGGGGGCAGCATGCATGGCAGGGGGTACCCCAGGATGGGGGGGCACCGCGGGGCACTGCATGCACGGTGCGGAGCCAAGCCCCGGCGGGGACATG